ATGTTGGGGTCACAAGAGAGAAGAACAACCAGAACTAGTAGCTTACCTCACAAAGCTTATCACAAGCCCAACTCCAACAGTAAAATACGTATGCTCCAATAAACCCTCAAGTGCCAAATTCTTTAAGAAAACCTAGAGCATGAATCATTTACATCATTAATACTCAATCACTTAATGATTTCACATTTTATTCTTACATGCCAATAATATGCCCATTACAAGTCTAGACCATTTATCACTTAATTACATGTTTTTAGTGTATTATGAAGTGTTCACTTATTACACAATCAACTACGTAGTTTAAGCACCTTACATAATCTTAGAATCACACTCTAAGATCACTAAGGTAACTTATATTATTTTCAACTCATCCAAGCCATATATATAATTATTATAAGTTACTAAGGGGTTCCTATAAGCCCACTTAGCCTAAATCTCACTTTTACGATTTTCCTATAATTGTAAATGATTCTGTTTTCCAGTCACTGTGTGCAACCCACTTGTAATAATACTCTCATCTTTTAATATGATAATCTAGACTCAATTACCTTTCCAACAATATCTCATGTCTCATTTGGAGTTTTCTATCTCCGGATATCACTGTTTGAAGTTGGACAAGCAAAGCTGTCTGCCAACTTCAAACAGAGCCCTAGACATCCCTTACCATTTCTGTGATTCTAGAAAATCTAATAAACCAATTTCTCTCAAATATTTATAAAGAAAACTAGACACCTTCAGATTTAATTTGACATATTATGAGCCTGATTTGAGTACGAAATGAGGGAGAAACAATTCGTGGAAGATGCAGCCACGTACAATCCCTGCACATGGTCTCCCAGGGTAGTCTCCACTCAATCGAACCTACAAAATGCTACACATCTTCAAATGGTGCCAAATTTTGACACCAGATAGCTAAATTCTCAAGATTAAAAATGATATATGGCACATCCCTATTTGATCTCTGTGGAGGGAGATATTCTCTCCCAAAGTTAGCCTAAAAACTAGTCATTTAATCCCAAATGTGTTTAATTATCAAATCCTAATTATCTTTGGTTAGCAACTCTAAGTCACTTTAATTTTTGGATTTTTCTATTATCAGGTCTCATTATGAAATCACACTTAGTCATATTATGTCATCATACCTCAAGTTCACTAATTGCATGATTAGTGTTCCTAAACCCTAATTAGGTCAATTTTTAAGGTTTGATATTTAATTAATGTATTATGCATAGTCCACCTCACTTGACCACTAGATTAATATACTAATTAGGTCTTATTATTAATTTTAACATAGTGATTCCACCTTAAACACGCATGGCCGAATCATTAGTGGTGTAGATTAGGGTTTTTAAGTTTGCCTCTTTGTCATTTCTTTAGTTAATTAGTACCTACCCTTAATTAATCCACTAATTCATGATTTCCTTATTTTTAACACAACTAATCCACATTATACCAAAGGGGGCAGATTTGATATGATAGTGTCATTAGGGTTTAAATTCCATCCTTAAGCAAGATTAGTGTTCTTAAGCTTAAAGGTTGCATTTTTAACATTATCCTTGGTTCAACTCATGATTCTCCACACTTTACAACATCAAGAACTCATTTTTATCAAATTACAACCTCAATCCCATAAAGAACCTACGTTGGCCAAATCATATAGGTGGGTGTGGGAGAGTTTTGGTCACCATTTTTCGAAGTAACCATGCTTACTTCTTCAAGTTAGCTCCAAGGCTTCAAGCTTTCACTTTTCTCAAATAAAGACGCATCCTTTCCACCAAGAATACGCCTTTAACAAAGACTCATGGTTAGAACTCAAGAACACAACTCAAAGGGGAGATTTTTCAAGGAAAAGATTCAACAAACTTACACTAAAACTCAAGGAAACAAGCACCAAGGAGTGTTCTTCCAAGAGAACTCAAAACAACATCTTCATGGCATGAAAAAGCTCCAAACCGCTGCTGTTTGGGGAGGGATGCACCATGAAATTTGGCTTCCAAGAACAAAAATGGTATGTTCTTGAATAGGAGGATGAGAGGAACAAGTTGTGTGAAGCAAGTTTGGTGATTTGATGAAGTTTTGGTGGTAGAATCTTAGAGAGAAGGTGGAGAAAATTTGAAAATCAAACTAGAGAGAGGGGTCTGCTAGGGTGCTGATGAGAAATGAGGAGAAGGGTCACTTATGTTTTTAGGGTTTATGTCATGTCATTAAGTGGCTTTCTGTCATTTAGTGACATCCAGTGTAATTTTTCTTTGAATTGTTATCAAATTTTTACCCGAAAACATCCAAGACTCTAATTTTAAGTAATTAATATTAATTTTGTCTAATTATCATGTTCATAACTTAAAAATTTGATTAGTAGATTGCAAATCCACTTACAGCTATTTAACTACACTGTAATCTTTACGGGTATTCTTAAGTGTACCTGGATTTCATAATCTTCTTAACTTTAACATTATTGGTCTAATTATGACTTGTTAGGAATATATTGGTCTTTCTTTCCATTTTCTCATCTTTTTCCCGTTCTGGAATTCTATCGGCTGCTTCTACAGCAGTACAAAATATCCGGCAGAAGTGACTTTTCCAAAATACCCTCATATGGGTATCAAACTTCATCAAATTATATCCTAACCTCATCTATGATAATCATATCATCAAAATAGCTCTCTAACTCTAATTTACTAAATTGGAGCTATTCTACGGACTGTTATTGCGTCAGCAGTCAAAAATAACAGCTAAAAACTCAACTGTTCAGAACACCCCCAATATGGGTAATAAACTTCATCAAATCTTATGCTTATATCATTTATGATATTCATATCATTAGGATAGCTCTCTAACTTAAATTCACTGTACTGGAGCTATTCTACCGTCTATTACTGCGTCAGCAGTCAAAAACAGCAGATGAAAATTTACCTGACTGGAATACTCTCACTATGGGTATCCAAATTCTTAGAATTTAATTCTCATTCTATTTATGACCATAAGGTCCTCATCATAACCCTCTAATTTAAAAGTCATGTAATTAGGGTAATTATAGCCAAGGGGAATTTTTTTCAAATTTTAAACACATGTTTATGTTTATTCCACATTACCATTCCATATACACTATTAATTCATCAACCAATTAAAATTTCAAACTCAAATATTTCCCAACAAAAATGCTCATATTTTTCAAAGCTTAAAATCACATAAATCAAACCATTGGAATGAGAATTTCTTACCTCAAATCACTTATCCAAGGTCCAAGGAATAAAACCCAAGCTTGGCTCCACCCAAAACCACAATTTCTCCCTTGGATGAATAGTAACTCGAAATGGGAAGAGAGGAGAACTTTTTATACAAGCACTTTCAGCCCAAAATAATGGGTGGAATGGATTCACCATGATTTTTACTTAAACTTTCATGTATGACACTTTGTATTTTGGTTGTTGTTTGTGTGAAAATTCAAGGAAAAGAATTTGAAACCCAAACCCCACCCATGGAGGACTGTCGACCAGGAGAGAGAGAAGAAGGGTTGCTGAAAATGAATAGTAAATTTTTGGAAAACTTAAGTTTATAAGGATGTGTAATATTTTATCGGTTATTTTTCGCTCACTTACTTTCACTTAATTAACCCGGAACTCACTTAAAGCTACGAACATATTTTTATTTTTTTGAACTTATTTATATTAATTTTATTCCCTAAGGAATAGTATTTTTAATTCACAGTAGGGTTTCTGCACCGTTTTTGACGAAATGCACTGTGAATCACTAATTGTGCACCGTTTGCATACGAAAACTTAAAACTTATAAACTTATCATTTTTGAGTCTATTATGACTTGTTTGTCATATATTTGACTTTCTTATTCTTATTTCATCAATTATTTAGTTCTGGACTCTACTGGTTGCTTAAACAGCGGTACAAAATATTCGGCAGAAACATTATTCACGAGATTTTCACGGAAAGTTCCAGACTATACAATTTTTTATTATGAACTCATATTTGGCATCAGAATTGCCAAATTAGGTCTCTAAACTTATTTTGTTCATTTTAAGCTCCACCAGTTGCTACACAGTAATGCAGAATATCCGGTAGAAAGCACTATTCATGACCTAGTCATGATTACAGTCAAAAAACTCGAAATCACGCTCTGAATCTAATTATTACATTTAAATCCTTAATTTAAATCTCTAATTAAGATTTACCTAATAGAGTCATTATAACTTTAATGCATGTTTTTTGAATTTCGAAAGGATTTGTTAACGTGAGAGCTCAGTTTTCTTTATTCTCTAAGTTTCCATACTTAATTCTAAAATCCTAATTATATAAGCTTGCCTTGACTTCACTTCTCTTTTCTTCACACTTTCAGCTTCTAGGTCTTCATTTTGACTCGAAAGCTTTGACTTTAGCTTTGGCTTTGTTTCTTGGACTTGTTCCTTGCTTTTTGTGTGTTGTCTTAGTATTCTTTCACTATTTGTTATCATCAATTTGTTATCATCAAAACTCAAGTATTTTCATTTCAATAACCTTTAAGGGTTCAACAAGGGAGAGTCAAAATGACAACACCAAACTATAGGTAGATCAACTGAATATAAGGGAAAACGAGTAGGGAGAAGACAAGAAAAGAGAAATTTAGGTAAAGAGAGAAAATTGGAGAGGGAGAAGGGTTTTGTGATTTTTCCATGCATATGTCATTACCATATCTCTATTATATACTATCACCAACAAGAGTTTTTTGCAACTGAATTTCACACAAAAGGGAAAAACAACGGTAAATTTGAGAAATCTGACAAAGAAATAGATTATTATCCTAAGATATAATAGAAGACCCATTAGTCGTAATTGTATATCTTGGGATTATGTCTCAGGCCTATGATCTTGAACTCTTCCAAGTAATTGGGCCTCCTCTTGTTTCTACTGAATCTGCCGTCTTCTCCGCTTTCCTTGACATGTATGGCACTACATATCCACTTGTCAATTGAGGCCAATAAAATTTTTAATTGGTGAACACTCATATAATCAACATCTAGTAGAATCTTCCTTGCCCTTTTGAATGCTTTTGTCTGACTCCAAAAATTTTCTCCAGACAGGGTGTTTCTGCCACACTACAGCCATTTCCTCAATTGGGACGCCCTTTGTTTCCGGAAAAAGTTTGTAGATGAATGTAGTCATGATCACCACAAAAAACCCAAAGAAGATGAACAAACCAAACTTCAAGTGACAAAGCATTAACGTGAAGAATTGGGCTATGAAGAATGTGCTGATCATGTTGACACAAACTGTGATACTCTGAGCTGCAGATCGAACCTCAAGGGGGAAAATTTCACTAGGTACCAACCACCCTAGGGGACCCCAAGACCAAGCATAACCTGAAACATATACACATATGACACCCACAACTACAACTGCGTACCACTTTGGCAATTTATCAGGGTTCCCACTAGTGCCAAATGCAGCAGCAATAGCAATTGTCATGATAATCTGTGACAAAAAACATAAATGGTATAATAATAGTTGGCAAGAACTAACAAACAAGACCAAGTAAACGAAAAAGGAAATATGTAATTTGTACGTACGGTACCTGACAAATCAACATTTGAGCACCACCCTCAAGGAAAAGACTTCGCCTTCCAAATTTATCCACAAGAAGAATTGAAACCAAGGTTGAAACTGGTTTAAAGCTGCCAATGATAACAGCAGACATGAGAGAAGCCGTGCTTCCAAAACCAATTGTTCTGAACAGTATAGGAGCATAGAATGTGATCACATTCAGACCAGTGAATTGCTGGAAGAAGGGTATGCATATGGCAAAAATAAGCTGAGGCCTATACTTTCTTTCCCTCAATGTTTTCCAAGGATGTTTCACTTTTTTGGAGGCCTCGCTAGCAGCAATTATATCACTAAACTCAGCATCAACTTCATTTGTGCCTCGAATTTTCTCAAGCTCTTTCCTTGCATCTTCAAGACGGCCGCGTTCAACAAGGGAACTAGGTGAGTCAGGGAGACAAATTGAGCCTATGACGAAAATAACAGCTGGGAGTGCACCAAGACCCAAGCTTAAACGCCATCCCTGACCATTAAGTACTTTTGCAAAGTAGTAGTTGAAGAGATTGGCCACAAAGATGCCTATAGTGATTGACAATTGGAAGCACATGTTGAGAGCTCCTCTGTATTTATAAGGTGCCATCTCTGAGACATAGATTGGCACTGACTGTAATCAAATGAAGTTCTTGATCAGTACACGACAAGAATCATATACAGCACACTACACCCAGACGAGCTTTAAAGAAAATGTACCTGATTAGCGCATCCAATGCCAAAACCAAGCAGCATTCTTCCAACAATAAGCATCCACATGCTTTCAGCTAATCCATTGAGCAATGCACCTGCTACAAAGAACATTCCACCAATAATCATAGTTGCGCGCCTTCCCATCAATCGGGTTATGCTGGATGCCCCTAGACCGGCAACAAGAGCAGTTAGATACAGAGATGATGTGAACAATGTCAATATCTGACTGTTGAATTTGCAGTACTGGTTTGAAGAAGGTTTCATGCTAGACTCCTGTTTATAAACCGATGGAAAGAATTGCTTCAGGAAGGAATCCATGGAGGTCACTCCACCTATGGACGCGGACACATTAAAATTCCCATATCAGAAATTAATTTCATCATTTTAAGATGCAAACAAGGTAACAAAAAGAATGTTTTAATTTATGTTAATACAACAAGGTTGGATTTACCTGAAACCCCATGATCATAACCAAAAATTAAGCCACCAGTGGCTGCCATGACACAAGTCACAACAACCCTAAGAGTGAGCTTTCCCGGATATATTATTGGAACTTCCATTTGTCCTGGCGCCACTGCTAGATCTTTTTGGGTTGAGCCTTATATTTATTGGACAAGTAACTTAATTAAGAAGACATTACAGCAGCTTGCAAGAGAAGAAAGACGACAAAAATAGCAACGTTGTACTGTTTTTTTGTTTTTTTTTTTTATATTTTTTACAAGGTCCTAAAATTAGATAATAGCATCAGTCTTTCTTATCCATCATTAGTTGATACCTGCTTCCTTGAATCGAGGATTTTTCCCAGGTAATCATGATTTCTGCCAGGTAAATAACGGACAAAACCGCTTGAGGATATCAACTATCAAGGATAAACATTTAACAAATAATAAAGTGATAAGAATGGATTTCTTAGCCAGGTAATATTCATGATTTCTGCCACTTTTGGTGCCACCTCAGTTTCCAAACTCGCTGTACCTTCTACCACCTCAACCCAGGGTAGGCGATTATATACCTTTTCCGTTGATGTTTCTGGAGTTTTTGTTTATATGTCTAGAATCTTAACGAGGGAATTGACATAGACTTTAATTGCTTGAGCTAAATTGTTATGTTTATTTCATCTCCTTCAGTCGAGTTATTTGTATCAGATGAGGTTTCCATATATATAAAATCATTGTTTGTTTTCCTTTGTCTTGTGTTTTCGTAAAAGTTCCAGTATTTGTAGATGGTATTTTGGCTTATTTCGAGGGGAGAAGGCACTTTAGTTCAGCATTTTGTACATTAACATAGCAAGCTTTCTATTATCATGCGATTGCAGCTTATTTCTTGTCCTTTGTTCATGATAGAAAAGAAGTTCATTAAGATATTGGTACGTAATATGCTATTGACAACTGACAAGTGACACAAATTTGGAAAACTAACAATTTCAACAATATGGTAAAGTTGAGAGGCGGCTAGAAGAGACTTGCACTTACAATTTTTTATGAAATGGCAAGACTAGTTTGTGATTATGAGGTGTATGATGGCTGACAGCATTAAATTTGAGGATTTGCATCACAGAGATAATTGCATTTTAAGGAGCTGCAGTTTTCAGCTTTAAACTGAGTTAGGCCATAAATGAACCTGTAATATAATGATTTCTGTACTCTAAAAGTGATTACGCTTGGGTTTTGCTGATTTCAGTAGTAAATCTTGGATTTTACTTCTAATTGAAACTTTCTTATAAAGTTCTGCACCACTTGCTGGTTGTTTGTCATGATTGTTTTAAATCAATGAGTAATATCATATTAAGTAGTGGCCGTGATATTAGCAGTGTAACACTTCTTCGGTTTGAATAATTTGGTTTAAGTAAGATCATGAGTGAATTAGGTTCGAGTGAGACTCTTAAGCCCACATAAACCATACGCCCCATTTGGGTTTTAGTGCTTAAAATTTTCTCCCTTAATAAACCCAAATGTGTTAGAAGACCCAATAGAGTTTCAGGATGTTATGGATCTATATAAAGCCCATATGCTTGGAAGGCCCAATAGAGGAGGGGCAACTAAGTTGCCCGCAAACAACAGAGCAGGCCCAGAGGAAGAAGGTCCAAATGGTTCAAACCTTACGGTAAACACTATAAATAGGAGCTAAAGATCATATGTATGACTAATCTCTTTCTAATATATTTTATGCAATTACAGTGCACACATACCACCCCCATTTTTGGCTAAGGCCTCGCAATTGTGTACCGTGATTTGCTATCTCCAAGATACCTAGTTCATAGGTATCTAGAGAGAGCACTAGATCCAATATTGACCTACAAGCCCTTGGCTAGACATCTCTGTCATATACAGACAGAACACGGGTCATGTGTTCTAGTAAGTTAAGGAGTTGACTGGGTAAAAATGAGTTTTCGTGTAATTCTTAATTTGAATTTGAATTTTCAACTTTGAATTCAAGTTTAAATTAAAAGTTATGATAAAAATGAATTTTAATTTAAAGTTTAAATTTGAATTTAAGAGGTTAAGTGGATAAGGATAATTATACAGATAGAACACTGGTCATGTGTTCTAGTAAGTTAAGGAGTTGACTGGGTCAAAATGAGTTTTCGTGTAATTCTTAATTTGAATTTGAATTTTGAACTTTGAATTCAAGTTTAAATTAAAAGTTATGATAAAAATGAATTTTAATTTAAAGTTTAAATTTTGAATTTAAGAGGTTAAGTGGATAAGGATAATTATGAATTGTCCATTAAGATAATTACGAGGATTTGCTAATTTAAATAAAGTATTATCAAATAGAGATTGAATAAGGCTTCATGAAACAACTTAATCATTTGCATTACGAATTCAAACGGAATTATTGATCAAGCAACAATCAGGATAGGGAGAATACTTTTAGTGCTACAATAGCACCGAGTCTTCTATGCTACTGCAACACAAATTAAGACATGTTTATTAATTTTCCAGATTATTTGGCTTACGTGGAATTTAATATTTTCTTCTTCTGTCAGTGTAAGAACTCGCACCGTTAACTAAGGAAGTTAATTAATTAATTGTGAGAAATTAGAAAATAATTCTATAATTGATCCCAATAATTATGAGAAGACTTATATAATTATGGTAAGTGTTTAATAATGTTGAAAGTCGTTTTTCTGATGAAAAGTGCAGATACCAGTTCTGCTACAAGGTATAAATGCGTACCGATCAAGAATCCCGCAAAGTTATAATAAGAGTGGGAATATTCCTAGAATAATATATAGGACTGTGATTTCAAATTTTGAAGTTACAATAATGAGAACTGGTGCCAGCACTGACACTGGCTATGTAAAAGCGCGTACCGGAAAGGTGCTGCGAAAAATAATATAAAAAATATGATAAATCCTAGAAAAATAAGTTGGTTCATAATCTAAAGTTTGAGATTAAAATGCTAGGCGTAGCTATTTTTGTTATTACTGTGTGTTTTAACTTAAGTGGGCCTATATAAGCTAGTGGCACAATGCCCTAGGTCAGAGTGCAAACCTCCTACGTGAGTTTTTGGACCCCCTTTGGCTGCTGGTCAGTTTCTTCCTTTGCCACCTTCTTCCTCCATAGCAAAAGCTTCAAGAAACCATTTGTATTCCTTGTTTCTCTACCATATCACCTTGTGTGAGTGAGGGCTTGCCTTGGGTGTTAGTAGGGGACCTTTTTTTGAGTTTCGTTTTAGAACTTGTGAGGATTATGGGGTGGTGTTTCTGAGTTGTGTGAGTATAGCCATTTTCTTGGCATTTTGAGCTCCAAGTTGTGAGCTTTGTGGAGAAAGAGACCACCTTGAGGTGTCAAATTCGTGGGCCTTAGAAGTCAGTGTTGTGTGACTGTGTTGGAAGCTCTAAGGAGGAGTCTTTTTCTGAGTTTGTGAAGCCTAAGGTATACCATGATCATAGCCTTGATGTTTTGATGAGTTTAACTTGTTTAATCCTTTAAAAAAAGAAAATTTAACCATTTGAGTAAAGGATTGTGTTTCTGAGTTCATAACATGGTAATGAATATCTATTTATGGAGTCATTGGACTCCAAATCACGTTTGAACCCTTAAAAGTGGGATTATGCAGAAGTCTGATCGAATTTATGCATTCTAATGGAGAAGTATTTGAATACTTTTCGTATAGTATTCGAATACTTGTCCTCTGGTAGTCGAATACTCCATGATGGAGTATTGGGATACTTTTCTGGGAAGAAAAGTATTCGGATACCTTTGAAGAAGTATTCGAATACTGGAGAGTATTCGAATACAGTGAGTTTTGGTATTCGGATACTGTAGTATTCAGATACTTGGGGTGTTGGTATTCGAATACCTCATGGTATTCGAATACTTTAGTGAAAGTAATCGAATACTTTCTGGAGGCATGGAGTATTCGAATACTCTTCAAGGAGTATTCGAATACCTCCTGCATAAACAACATGAAATGACTTAAAATGAGATGGAAAGCCTTAATCACTTAATGTAACCTTGGTGAATGGTTATTGATGATTATTTACTGTATAACAGATTGTGATTGTGTTGTTTGTGGGCTTTGAGCTGGTGAGGACTCTTGGCTTGGATAGTTAGCTTGCAAGGTAAGCTTTCGTGTCCTCGGCTTAGCCATTGTTTGTTCCATGGAGAATGGTTTATATGCATGATTTGTTTTCATGTACTGTTTTATTGAAATGCTATGGAGCTGTTAAGTGCAAAATGCTTATGATATCTATGTGGTGTTTCGCCTAGCCAGGAAGCCATGGGGTGGTCCTGGGGGCGGGTACAGCACGAGCGTGTACTGTGTGGGTAATAGACGTATTCCTGCACTTCTCTGATCAGTAGATAGATATAACACACATGACATGATTATCTGCTGCATTGCACTGAATTTTGAACTGATATTGAATTACTGCTTTTAGAACTTATATTGCACATGTAAGTGAGCTTGGGGTGGAAGATCCTTGAGGACCCCTTGTCTTACTGAGATTTCTGTTTAGAGATCTCACCCCACGTTTGAGGCACACGTTTCAGGTTCAGGTAATGCGGGGTTGAGACCTCTAGCGCCAGGAGGCCGGAGCTGAGTTAGATGTCTGCTATTATGATTATATGTTTGGATGCTGGATTATATTTGCTGATGATATGCCTTTAGCTTGTTATTACTATGTTGCTGTTGTTGAGATTATGTTTGGCCTTCTTGCCTTATTTGGAGAGCATGGGGATTGTCCATGCCACATTTGATTATGTATTGTTGTTTAGATTTGAGTTGTATAAACCATCAGGGTTGTCCGTGTAACACCCCGTTCTAGAACCGGTTTGTTAACATCGCATTATGATATTAAGCGCAGTTACAATCACATGGGTTCCATTAAAATCCGGATAAATTTTTCATTTTAAAACGTACCGAACTTATAATACCCAATTTCGTGATCATAACCATATTACCTTGCGGAAACAGATAAATTAAGCTTAACATCATGTTCATTTCCCATTTTTAAACCATTAATTTACTTCTTGTTTAGTTCAATACTTCTACTATATTGTAGGTTTCTTCATTAGCTACCTGTGGCTTCAAACCGTGCTCAAATCGGAGCACTGTAGCCCAAGTTAGGACCATTTGAAGCAACACAAGAGAGTGTTGGTCACAGGCCCAGCGCGCTTCAGCGCGCTACCGGGCGCTCAAGCGCGCGCTATCGGGCGCTAAAGCCTCCATCTGGGCGCTTAAGCGCACGGAGGCAGTAAGCATCAGTATTTCCAGTGTGGATGGGCGCTTAAGCGCGCAACAGGGCGCTCAGGCGCGCTAGCCTGGGCGCTCAAGCTCCCACTGGGACGTTTTAGCGCGCAGAGACAGAAGCATCTCCTCCTTCAGTGGCGAAGGGCGCTTAAGCGCGGACCAGGGCGCTCAAGCGCGCAACCCTGGGCGCTTAAGCCCCACCCTGGGCGCTAAAACACGAGGGGGCAGTAAGCATCACAACTTTCTGCAGCAAAGGGCGCTTAAGCGCGAGCCAGGGCGCTCCAGCGCGCAATCCTGGGCGCTTAAGCCCCCACTTGGGCGCTCCAGCGCGAGGAGGCAGAATGCATTGGCACTCGCAGGGGCAGCAGGGCGCTTGGGCGCGCTCCTGGGCGCTTAAGCGCGCTGCCAGGGAATTCCAATTCCCACATTTCTCAAGTCCAAGCCTAGGGGAAAATGCATCCCCATTACAAACCCCAAATGTCCATGCCCCAAAACTAAATCCTAGCACTCATCCAACCTCTCCTCATGAGATTTAGCTAGAATTTGGACAGCATGACCTTTGTTTTCTCATCGTTTACCAGTTTAAACGAAGAGGGTACCTAATTGATTTTCAGCCCAACCAATTCAACAACTCAATACATAACAAGCATGCATATATTGAATTCCAAGTAGGCATCATTTACATTACATATCCTTTACAAATCATAGAACTTAGCTTACAAAACACTATGATCATTCCCTTGGCTCCCATCAACAAAAGGTGTAACCAAAGGCATGAGCATAGGCTAAGTTCATCCAATGAATCAAGATATACAAATGATCATGGGCTTTCAAAATAAAATCCTATACATGTCAACTACAAAAGGCATGCATAAACTCAAAGAAGTGCCATATTTCATGCATAATCTAGGTATGGCCACTTGCCACCAGAGGCTCCTGCAGCATCCTTACCTGAAAGGGGGTCCCCACAACACGGGGTGAGATATACGAATATATCCAGTAAACCAGGGGTCCTTGGAGCATCTCTCCACCCCACAGTTCCATATCAGTGTAATAGCAATAACAATAATAATGCAGTAAATACATATCTATGCAAAGTGCAATACATCTCCAGGAGAAATCCCTCGAGCTCTCAAGCTGTCCTAAGGAAACTCAGATGCAAATAGTCCTACTGGCCAGCTAACTACCAAGTATGATTTACGCATCGTCATGCCACATACCAACATAGGGAAACACCATCCTATGCCACACCAAATGCATACACATACGTATAACAAAGCATTACACTATTTTATTGCATTTATATACACAATCACAACCTCCACCCTTTCAGGGCTTGGTAGAACAGTCAAGGGAATTACACCCAAGGTCCGAAGGCTTACCTCAATGCTTCAGTCAACCTTTGTTCTTCACCAACAGTTTCAGCAATCAACTTTTACAAACATACACCTACACATGGTGTAATGCAATCAACATTGCATCCAAGAGTATTTCACAATCAACCATCAATTACTCAATTCAAAGCACAACACAAGTATGAGCTTACCAATTCCAATGAGCTATTCAAGCTCCATAGCTTGCTCCAATGGTTGATCACTCACGGTTGGTCCAAATGTCTCAATCCTAGACATCACAAGGATCCAATCAATCATTCAACTCACTAATTGTTCAACATGCTAGAATACTAACCAATCCAAGCATGAATTTTCCAATATTATGAACAATTATCAAATGACTATCTAGGCTCATTTCCACCGATTAAATGACATTCCTAGCATTTTCCATAACATGCTCTAAGCTCCATTCTTCCTAGAACATAGCTAATTCAACTACATTTCATAAAAATCCCAATTTACTATTCACAAACCCTAACTCATGCAAATTTCAAGGAATCATGAGGTTCAAGGGTTAGAATCTTACCACCAATGGTCACACAACCAAGGATTGATGGCTCCTCAAGCTTCAATGGAGGTAGAAACTCTCAAAACCCCAAATTTCTCCAAAGGGCCGAATTTTTGAGAGGCAATATCCCTCTCCACAATGCTCCCCACTCAAAACAAAGCTAGGATTATGAAAGAGGGGAAGATTTAGAGTGGTTTAGGCTTTTGAATCACTCCAATCGGTTGGGTTTGCTCTCTCTCTCTCTCTCTCTCTCTCTCTCTCTCTCCTCCTCTCTCTTCTTCTTCTTCTCTCTTCTTCTTCTCTTTTTCTGGCGTCGACGGGCTGGGTGGGAAATGGGGGTCATTTGGTGACTTAAGTCACTTAACATAGGTTAAGTGGCTCTAAGCGGGTATTGGTTCGTCTATCTATTTAACTCCAATAATTACCAAACTTTACCCAAAAGTCTGGAATATTATTCTAGGAATATTACTATTTTTATTTTTATATTTTGGGTACTTTTGACAGTACCCATTTATACCCCTTAATTTTCACTGAGTACACTTTTTAACTCCAAAGTGACTCAGATTCATTTTATTATTAAGCCTCATACTTAATTTCACCCAGTAAAACATGTTTAATTAATTAATTACACTTGATTTCCTAATTAATTAATATGGGCTATTATAGTCACCCCACCTTTTAGCGATTTTGTCCGCAAAATCAAGAACGTACCTGTCCTTAAACTCAGGATATTGCCGGAGAAGCTCATCTTCCCGCTCCCAAGTGGACTCTTCAGGCGTCCTTCCTTCCCACTGGACTTTCACCATAGGAATAGATTTATTTCTCAGCTTCTTCTCATCTCTTTCGAGTATCTTCAGTGGTCCAATAGGAGTCTTCAAATTCTCCCGGATTTCAACATTATCAGGTTGAACCACATGAGAAGGATCAGCTACATATTTCCTCAGCTGAGAAACATGAAACACATCATGTAAATTTGCTAATTGCGGAGGTAAGGCAAGCTGGTAGGCAACCGGTCCCACCCTACGAAGAATCTGGTAGGGTCCAATAAATCTCGGACTCAGCTTCCTCACTCCAAGGGCTCGTCCCACACCCGTAACCGGTGACAGCTTCAGGAACACATGATCTCCCTCCTCAAACTCTAGAGGTCGATGCTTGAGATCATAGTAACTTTTCTGACGATCCTGAGCCTTTTTCAGACGATCCCTAATCATTTTGATCTGCTCAGTAGTCTCCTGAACAAAATCCAATCCAAACCGCTCTGTGTCTCCAACCTCTGACCAACAAGTAGGTGTCCTACACCTGCGACCATACAAGGCCTCGTAGGGAGCCATACCCAGACTAGCATGGAAACTATTATTATATGAAAACTCAACCAGTGGGAGATATCGATCCCATGCAGTACCCTGCTCCAGGGTGCAAGCCCTCAGCATATCCTCCAACGTCTGAATGGTCCTCTCAGTCTGACCATCCGTCTGTGGGTGATAAGCAGTGCTCAGTCTCAACTGAGTGCCAAGAGCCTCCTGCAATGCTCCCCAGAAGCGAGAAGTGAACTTCGGGTCCCGATCACTAACAATGCTTTCAGGCACCCCATGAAGCCTCACAATCTCCTTCACATAGAGCCTAGCCAATCTCTCCGCAGAGAAATCTACCCGAACTGGCAAAAAGTGTGCGGATTTTGTCAATCTATCCACAATCACCCATATAGAATCATAACTAGCCTGTGTTCGCGGCAATCCCACTACGAAATCCATGGAGATACTCTCCCATTTCCATTCAGGAACATCCAGAGGTTGTAACATACCAGAAGGCTTTTGATGCTCAATCTTTACCTTCTGACAAATGAGACACTTAGAGACAAATTCGGCAATATCTTTCTTCATACCAGGCCACCAGAAATTCATCTTTAGGTCCTGATACATCTTTGTAGCTCCCGGATGAACTGTAAAATGACCCTTATGAGCCTCTGTCATCACTTCTTCCGCCAACTGCCTAGGTACAACTACACGACCCTGATATAATAGTATACCCTCATCATTGCAGGATACACCACTCTGACCTTTTAGTCGTCTAGCACTTTCATTTTGCAGCTGGGCTTCTTTGATTCTGGTCATCAGTTCATTCTCAATGCTCGTGATTTCAAAGCCACAAATTTTACATGGAAAGATTTTAGATAATTGAATATCTCTGAACCTCTCTATCACATCATAATCTCTAATCATCATGCTTGATATGCTCACAGATTTACGGCTCAGTGCATCAGCTACAACATTAGCCTTGCCAGGATGATATTTCAATTCAAAATCATAGTCTTTTAGGAACTCGGTCCACCGTCGTTGTCTCATATTCAGCTCCTTTTGATCAAACAAGTATTTCAAACTCTTGTGATCGCTGAATATTGCAAATTGCATTCCATACAAGAAATGCCTCCACTGCTTCAACCCAAAAACAATTGCAGCAAGCTCAAGGTCATGGGTTGGATAATTTTCTTCATGCGGTTTCAATTGCCTCGATGCATAAGCTACCACTCGCCTATCTTGCATCAGCACACATCCCAATCCCTTCTTGGAAGCATCGCTGTATAGCTCAAATTCACCTTCCGGGTCGGGAAGTACTAACACCGGAGCGGTCGTCAGTTTCTCCTTAAGGCTCTGAAAGCATTCTTCACATTCTTGTGTCCAAACAAATGGAGTATCCTTCCGGGTCAAACGGGTCAATGGCAACACCATGGCTGAAAATTCTTTAATGAATCTCCGGTAATAACCAGCCAAACCCAGAAAACTTCTTATTTCTGTTACTGTCTTGGGTCTCTCCCAATCAACAACTGCCTCTATCTTGCTAGGATCAACTGCTACTCCCTCAGCAGAGATAACGTGACCCAGAAATTGCACTTGAGAAAGCCAAAACTCACATTTAGAAGGCTTTGCATATAACTGTTTCTCTCTGAGAATTTGCAACACAGTTCTCAAGTGACCTTCATGCTCTTCCTTACTCTTGGAATATATCAGGATATCATCAATAAACACAATCACGAATTGATCCAGAAACGGCTTAAATATGCGATTCATGTAATCCATAAACACCGCAGGAGCATTAGTGAGTCCAAATGGAATTACTTGATACTCATAATGTCCATATCTAGATCGGAAGGCAGTCTTCGGAATATCTTCCTGCCTAATTCGGATTTGATGATAACCCGACCTCAAATCAATCTTTGAGAAGACACAAGCACCCCTCAACTGATCAAGCAAATCATCTATGCGAGGGAGAGGATACTTGTTCTTAATGGTAACCTTATTCAACTGACGGTAATCAGTGCACAATCTCATGCTACCGTCCTTCTTCTTAACAAATATGACTGGTGCTCCCCACGGGGACACACTTGGCCGGATAAACTGCT